CAGTTGGTTTTACTTTCATCATAGCAATATGTGTGAACATGATTTTGGAAATTGCATTTTGACTCAAGCTTTTGGTTTAGCAAGCTGTACATTGAAACAGGCACTGCTGGGATTTGAACCCAGGATCTCCTGTTTACAAGACAGGCACTTTGACCAACTAAGCCACAGCGCACAGTGATTGAGTTTAAAAAGGATTATCTGGACACTTCAACAAAAGCAGTTGGTTTTACTTTCATCATAGTAGTATCATCATAGTGTGTGGACATGATTTTGGAAATTGTGTTTTGATTCAGGCTTTTGGTTTAGCAAGCAAACCTAAAGTTGTACATTGAAACAGGCACAAGATAGTTGAATAGCAGAACAGGCACTGCTGGGATTTGAACCCAGGATCTCCTGTTTACAACTTTTATAATAAAACACCTCAAGGTTCCCGCTGCCCTTGTCTATTGTGACTATTTGGCCAAATACCGCAACTCTGTTGCCTCAAAATATGCCTCTCCATGTCTAAGTGCTGAATAAATACATGCTCAAAGTATTACAACTTTGAAGTGTTTTAATTCTTAAAAAGTAGTAGATTTAAAAGGTTACAGACATATTTCAAAAGTATTACAGAAGGAATTTATGCATAATGTGCTCTTGGTGGCATCAGCTCTGACCTGCAACACAGACACACACATGCACAGGTGTTGGTCATGCATGCGTGCACAGTGGGAATGTGCAGAGCAAATAGTGGAAGCGCTGTAACCTAAGCACTTCTCAGTTGTGGGGTTTGCCATGTTAGGAATTAGCAGTACTCACCGTCGGCAGTTCTTCCAGCTGCGCATGTGGCGTCCGTGCCGATCGTCCGCGCGTCTTCACGCCTGCGCTGACTCAGTCGCATGTCTGTCTTGCCCACCGTGCACACTTGTCAGCCAGCTTAGCAGAGTATCTGCAACAAGATGGGCACAATGACTTTATTACAAATAGTAATCTCATGTAAGACACAAACACACAGCCAAAGATGTCAGAGGAAAAATGAAGAGAATTTCCTTTTTTTTTTGCATTATTGAATTGACAATGATGCTAATAGCTACTTTGTGTTAGCTCCAAAAATTAGTTTCTTCTTCTCTGCGGCTACGGTAGTGTTATTGAAACACACACTATGCTACAGCAGTGTCGATACATTAAGTGAAATCAGATGTTAGCAAGACTGCTGCTTCAGGAATTTAAACAGTTGATGAGAAACACACACACACACAGAGTAGGTAATCCATTTTAGCAGCAGTGCTCACTACAAGCCAAACAGTACAGTAAAGCACATTATGAGACTAGCAAAAGGCCAAAGAGTGCCATGGTGCTGTTAGCTAACCCTAACCCACACCTCTGCAGCCACTTGTTGTGTTAGAACTAAGCAGTACTCACCGTGAGCAGTCGGTCACCGCCTTGCCAATTCCACAGCTGTAGGACATCACCTCTGTTTCTTCGGTCACACAGTAGCTTCTGGCCGGTGTCTGCACTTGTCATCCTGCTTATCTGAAACAACACAAGTGCAGGCTTTTAGTAACAATCAAATAACCTAACCCAACACAAGCTCTGTACTCCTCCACAAATTCCTATACAGCTGGCATGATGAAGGCTGCTCAAAACACATCAGAGAGCTGCTGTGGCTAGCTGTTAGCAGGACCACTGTTGCATTGTAAATGGATTCAGAGCGTTCAAAAATGATTCACAGGTCACTCAGCTGAGCACAGGCACGGTGTAATACGAACTAAGCAGTTGTCATGAATTATTGCTGGTTTTATTTTCAATAAATAGCTTCGTTTTAACCCCGCCAGCAGTCGGCTGCTCAAACCGGAAGTAGCCTCTAGAGCTATTCTAGCAAGCCTACGGAGCCACAACTGGCTCCTAAAACGCATTCAAAGCGTGCAAAAGGTTTTCAGTGGCCACTCAGCTGAGCTCAAACACCGTGTAACACGAACTAAACAGTTGTCCTGAATTATTATTATTATTATTGCTTTCATTTTAAATAAAGAGCTGTGTCTATCCGGCTAGCATCCTATTTCAATGTTGTTATGAAGTGAGCCTCGCCTAAAACAAATTAAAGCTTACCTCGCCTTGCGTTTCTGTGCTGCTATAATCGTTCTTCAACCAGGCTGGTTCCAAAAAGTCCAATGTTTTCAGCTTCAAAAAGGCTCGACGCTGTGCACCAGCGCTGTCTCTGAATGAACCGCCGGCCGTCTGCTGTGAGCGTTACCGGATACCACACAGACCACGACAGGTGTTCCCAGAGTCTGCATTTAAGGGTTAGGGTGAGGCAAGAAAACTACTGTGTGTACCCCTACAGTTGTTGCTCAATGCACCATCTCCTTCCCCAAGCAACCTTCTGTGGGGAAAAAAAAGTCAAAGACGTTACAAATACACACAGGAGGACTCACTTACCTGTTTTCCAAAGACAAATTTGTCTTCATGGATAGCGCCCCCTATGGACATTTTCGAGGAATTGCATATTTCATATCTCTGGTTATGGAGAAGCTAGAGTAATGAAATTTGCTGTGCATATACAGACCCTGAGGATGAATAGGTGTGTAAAAATTCAAGCCTGTAGGTGGCGCTGTTTCTCACGTACGTTAATTTTTGGAGGAACAGACAGATTTTGGACACCGCATATGATACGTTATTTTAGGGAGGAGCTAGAGCGTTCCAAATTGGTGTCTAAGTGCGGAGCCAAGGTCCCTACTAGAGTTTAATGTTTCAAGCCACATGTGGCTTGAAACATTAAACTCTAGTAGGGACCTTGGCTCCGCACTTAGACCTTTTTGGAGGGATAGACAGAT